TCACGAAGCGAAGAAACGCCACTTGTGAGCCATGAGGCCTGAGCCATCCCTGAGCCACTGTGAAGACCATCCTATCGCAGCATGGGTGATTATCAGCGAAGAAATGCTAGACATGAACGTAATGTACGTACGTTCGATCTCCTCAGGGTCACCACGCACGACTCGGTCGAGCGTCTCTGCATCGTCGGCCGCGAGGTAGGGCGGGAAGAGCACGTAGTGATCTAGGGGTAGCGGACCACTCCTCAGTAACCTGATCTAGTGGTCGACGTGCACAACGGCGTACCTTGGTAATTCTCTCCTACTCCAGGTAGATCACTGACGACGTCGATTCCTAGTGACTGCAGTAGGCCGCGGTCCCCGATACCAGAGCGCTCGAGAATAGCGGGGGAGCCGAACGCGCCTGCGGAGACTACCACGAGCCTGCGCGCTCGCGCTATACGCGCCACCTTGTCTTCGTCTGGGCGAATGCGTGCGTTTGGCAGGAATTCCACCCCGACTGCGCGGCCATCCCTGTCATGCAAGGTTGGGTGAGGCCCTGATGACGTACGGAGACATATACTGAGAACGGTATAGAACGCACTCGATTATGACTCGCTTGACGTGATACCCTGTCAGAATTTCGAGGTTGTCGAACTGGCGATTGTAGATGTAATTGTGTGGCACGTCTGATCGGCGGCCGGTTTCCTGATCGATATACCTGTGGGATGTATGTCCATGGGCCATCTCCCTGTGCTAGGTCATTCAAAGGATCGTACTTCTGTACTCGCTACGCGAACGGGGGTGGTTAGTTCTGGGCCACGAGGAGCATTTTGATTTGCTCACTCCATACGCGTTGACGGTAGTCATGTCATTCGGGTCGTCCGTCCAGCCCCTGCGTGTGTCGTACTGTGCGCCAACCTCGAGGAACTCCTTGCCTATGTTGGTGAAAGCGCCGCCATGCGAGACCTTGATCGGACCTTGGTAGCCGTGCGTTGGCTTGTCGGGAGCTACTTGGTACGTCTCCATCTGTGATACCGTCAGGCCGTCGAGGACAAATCAATTTCCTGATAACACCCGACCTTCTTCATGAGAGGGAGGAGGTCGCGCGAGCCCCATCCTTCATTTCCGTATACTTTCTCCCATTCGTCGTAATCGGACCGCGAGGCACGCGAGTACATCGCGACTGAGACAGTCAGTTGATGGCTCATACTCCCCACAAGCGAATAGGACGCACAATTGACGCTAGACCCTCCTCCGAGGCATTGAGCGCAAGGTACAACAGGAGAACGGCCGCCAAGGTCTGCACTCTCCTTGCCTACGTTGAGCTTGATGGTCTGGCTGCCTGGTAGGAGATGGCTGAGATAGCGTGCGGGCTGTATGTACGCAAGATCCTCAAGGGTAGGTGGGCCAGCCTCTATGATGAGGATGCGAAGGGATGGCTCGGCAGATGCGAGACGACTGGCAACAACACAGCCAGTCGTGCCGCCTGGAGTGCAGTTAGCGCAAGATACAACAGGCGTACCCAATAAGCGTGTGCCCACCGCCAGCGACTATGATATCCGCTTCAAACGGTAACACTGACATTGTCGTGCCAGGTCAGCTCTAATATGACACTGAAGATGTGCTCAGCAGTGCTTGCGCAGCCTTGTACACACTCAGGCTGTTGGAGAGTCTTGAAAGAGGAACCGGGCCCACGATAGATACTGAGCACGCACAGCCCACTGCGTGGGACCTCCTGTCCCATCCTCGCTTCTTGAGAAGGGTGACGGTCCCTGGCAACCCTCGATAAGCCTCAAATCAGATGACCGTCGTTCAGCGGCAACCGGTGCGTGTAAAGGTGGTCCACCATGGGGGGCTCAGCTCAGCAAGGGACGCTTCACTCGATAGTACACGGGCACCAAGCTCGAAGCAGGAAATCTCCTGAGGAACTTCGGCGCGAAATGTAATGCTAAGCGGCAGCTGAGCTTGGTCTGGAGGCACCTGTAGTTGCATGATTTGAAGAGCGAGTGTAAGAATAAGGTGTACGAGCTCACAACATCAGTAGTGTAGTGGTTCCACTTTGAGGTTTCGAGGTCATGCAAGTGGTGTGGTGCTCGACTTGTCTACGTTCACGCGGAAGCCTGAGAGGTCAAGTTGGCGAAACTTGGCATGGGTCTAGAGTACCCTTGTAAATGTCAATACCTGCGGGAGTTGAGAACAGGACATAAGAATGCGCACATTGACATGAAGTCATTCCGCTAAAGCCAATTGAAAAAATGACTGTGATTTCCAAGGCAAAGTAGGGTGGCCCGAGTCACCGTCGTGCCAGCGATGTTCGTAAAAGCGCTCTAGACACATCCTAATGTCGAGTCTCTACCAACCGCCTGGTCTCAAAGAAAGGATTGATCGCTGTAGAATTGATGCTTCCCAGGCCCATTGATTGAGGAATGTGGGGGAAAGTGCACAAGAATGCGCTATCCGAGCCGAAGGCTTTGGATGGTCCGTGCGCGGAGTCGACGTTCCTCGTTAGCAACCCCTAGTTTCGATCCAGGGACTTCATGGTACGGCTGGTCGCCGACACGTCAGTGTAAGCTTGGGCTCCAGGAGGTGTCGAGCGATATTCACTGCCTTTTGTCGCAGCGCATGTTTGCAAAAGTCAAAACAGCCTGAGGCGACGCGAGCGGGCCGAACGCTGCGCGACTGCTTACTCAGCCACCCACAATTGTATTGATGACGCCATGGACGGCGGCTTACATCAACCTGGGGAAGTGACGCGATCACCAACGTGACTTATCCGCCGCCGTACCAACTCTGGGCCTGTTGTCGTGTTTCTCGGCCTGAGAGACCTCGTACGTATATATAAGAGAGACGTGGATACCGATGTGCAACAACCACTCCAATAAACACCCCGCCCAGATATGGGACAGGAGACAAATATCTTGCTTTTCGGAGCGACAGGTGAGCATACTATTAATCTGATCACCTTCAGTGGTTGACCTCGCAATGACATGCGCGTTCAGGCTATGTCGGGGGCGCGGTCCTTGGCCTCTTCCTGAAGCATCCCAAGGCCGAGACGTTCGCGATCACCGCACCCGTCAGGTCTCCTGCGAAGGCGAAGCTCCTCGAGCAGCTCGGCGTGAAAGCCCCCATAGCGTCGCTCGATGACCATGACAAGCTCGAGTCTCTCGCGTCCAGCGCGGACGTGGTGTTCAACATCGTGAGGATGTCCTTACGGCAGCCCGAACCTGCGCTGACCAAGCCCGACAGGCGTCATCGGACCACTTAGCCGGCACCAAAGCGATTTTGAGTGGTCTGCGCAAGTCCTATGAGGCCACCGGACGGCGTCCTATCCTTATCCACACGGTCAGTCCAGGAAAACGGCTCAAATCGCTTTACATGACTCATAATTCGCTGCTCGCAGTCGGGCACAGGTGAGATCGCGGAGCCAGCAGAGGGCAAATACGCCACAGAAACCGTCTACTCCGACCTGGACGTCGAGAAACTCAAGGCCATACCGGACAATGCATACCACCGGAGCATTGATCTTGCAGTGATCTCAGCGGATGAAGAAGGTGGTTTACCTGCAGGCATCTCACTGTACTCCTCGGATGGCTGACATTCGCGCAGGATACGCGCGTACCTATATCATCATTCCCAGTCTGATATACGGCCTTGGGTCCGGGACTTTGTTCGACGCCGGGATCGCAAGGCGGATATCGATACAGATCCCGACCATCATCAAAGCGTCCATCGACAGAAAGCGCAGTGGGCTCATAGGTCCGGGCAAGGCTGTCTGGCCCCACGTTCACCATGACGACGGTGCGTCGTCCACTACAATCATGTACTCGGGGACTGATGCGCAGACGGTGCAGTCGCGGACCTGTTCATCACGCTGTTCGACACAGTTTCCGCGAACCCCGACCGCGCTGGGCACGGATGGGAGGGCTACTACTTTGCCGAGAACGGCCACAGCTCTTGGTATGACATCGGCAAGGCAGTCGGTGAGGTCCTCGTCGAGCTCGGTATCAGTGCCGATCCCGAGCCTACGTCCTTCACGACGGAAGAGTTGGTGAAGTACTGGGGCTCTGAGGTATGCCTTGCGTGTTCACAATAGTATGCGATCTGACGGCTGCGTCAGGCGTCAGGCAATTACTGGGGCAGCACCTGCCGGTGCAGCGCCGACCGCGGACGCGCGCTGGGCTGGAAGCCGAGGTTCACTGCAGCGGACATGCTCACGAGCTTGATGAAGGCGGAGGTCCAGGTGCATTTAGAGGCCGCGCAGCAAAACGGTGGGGTGGTTGACTTTAGCTACGAGAAGTCCCTCATGCAGATGCTGGGAACGGCTACCCCGAAATGATCTACGCAAGCGCATCGCCCTCGGTGCATATTTCTCAAGTGCTCAATCGTGTGCATGTCAATATGCGCTTTCTGTTCCATACTCATTCGCTGATGTGTCGCTCCCTTCGTGTATCACGCTGTCACATCGAATCGCACACATCTATAGAGGACTAAGCACTACTCATTTGGTCATACACTTCTCGGACTCGTTTCAGTGAGACAAGTCTCACGATTGATTATACTGCCCGGATCCGTTCAGACGCTTGACTTGCAGCAGCTAAGCTTCAAGTGGTCTGGAGCGCATCTGTTCAGAAGAGTAGTACGATAGTGAAGAGCGAGTGTAAGGATAAGGTGTACGGACTCACAATTTACATTCACGCGGAAGGGTCGGCGTACTAGTGGTAGGACCGAAATTTAGAGTTCAGACTGAGTAGAACCCTGGACTCATAATCTTTCATACTTGTACGCCGTTCAAGTACTCGACAGTGACTGGGAGTTTAGGGGGGAATAGTAGGGTGGCCCCCACCATCGTGATGTACCAATAAGCGCTCTACATTCATCTTACTGCTGAGTCCCCTACCAACAGCAAACTCTTCTAAAAAGTGAGATTTATGCATAGCCGACGATCCCTAGGGGTTCTTGAATGCTGGAGGTACAGGAAATATGCAAAAGGAGGCCAGATACGAGCGGGAAGTATCCCTCGTTAGCAACTCCTGGTTTCGATCCAGGGACTTCAGGGTTTCACTGCTAAGCGTATGAGCCCTGCACGCTTCCGCTGCGTCAAGTTGCTGTTGTTTGGAGCCGAGGTGATGGCAACAGATAGCTGGAGAAAGCGCAAAATGACTCGGAAGGTCGGAACAGGCGCTAGGCGGCGCCCGGGCCTGTCGTCGCGCTTAGATCTGTTTCCCACCAGCCTCAGCCTCTTCCGTGGCTTGCTGAAGTGCAGAAGAACATCCTACGCACACGATAGTATCATCAGGAGGTGTTGAGGTCCGTAGATACTTGAGAACCCAGTTCATACTCACCGAATGGTCGAGTAGGTGCCCGTTGACAACGATCATGTTCTCAGGCTACTAGCGGGGTAATTCGCTCATGGATTTATACACTGTCGGCTCAAGAGCGTTCTGAGGGCCAAGTCCAAAGCCCCCAGAAACACAGTGTCCATGCGGAAGAGCAGGGCGAGTCTACATCCTTCAGCAGATCGTCGCTACCTCCCGGCAGTCATGGCCAACAAGAAGTAGTGGCTGTCAACCTCTGTCAACGCGCTCCGCCTGTCGACACTCGATCATGATCGAAGGATTTGATGGGATGTCGGTCAAATCGGGCGAAGACAGCTTCCCCACCCCCGTCATGAGTTGACCTCTCCTTCGGACAGACCCGGTGCGTGCTCACTTATGTCCTCGCAGATGTATGCGGCCCATTTGCAGCGCCATATGAAAATGACTTTAATCTACTAATCACAGTAACGTTGAACATATCAAGTCCTCCTTTCTTTCTCATGCTCCTTCGAGTCGGCCCTCACAGGCCTCAATCCGTAAACATGCCACCTTGGCTCGCATTTCCTTGTGGCCCGCTCCCGACCTCCTCTCCATCGCGCGCTCCCTTCTTCCGCAGGCCCACTAGTTCATCTTGCCATCCACGGAACTTCAACAACAATGTCTCGCCTTCCGCGCTCGCGCCGCTGGCATCTGCGTCGTTCTCAATGGTAGAGATCGCACGCGCGAGGGCATGGTCGAGGGCATCAAGTGCTTCGTTGAGGACGAAGGGATTCGATAGTATCTGCCCTACTGATGGGTTTTGTGCTCCACCCGTTCCAGGTATTGATTCCGGAGCAGCTGCCTTCGGGTCTGACTTGGGATACACCTAAGTGAGGCCGATGAGTAACACGAGACATTGGGACTAGCATTGGGCTTTCCTGTCCAGGGTTCTCACGTGAAGGCGACGGAGGGATATTCTTCTCGAAGGACTGCGAAGGAAACTTTGCATCGGCTTTGTAAAGACCATGAGTACGTTCGCTACCTTGAACCCTCAATAGGTGTGCTTACCGTCAACGAGAGACATGGGTACAGTATAATGGTCGGAGAGGCAACAAGAGGCTTGCCAGAATTGGTCTAGAAGAGTAGCAGCTATATAAGTACAGGGCAATATGTCAAGCGGTGGAGTGGCTGATGACGTAGGCGCGTCAGCGCGTTCGCTGCACTCCTTATTTCCTGTGTATCTGTAGTGTTAGCAGCATTATGCCTTGCATACTAAGCTCCATCATCATGAATGTGCTCTTCGGTCTCCTTTTGGTTGATGAAATGGACTGCTATCCCTTACAGCCTGAGGTCTACGATGGATGAATTGATGACAAATGACGTCACGCATTCCGGTCCATTTTCACGGACACACGGGAGTCTCATTCGTATTCACACTGCTATCTTATTCACCATCTATATATGAAGAAGCTCAGTATTCAAGATGACCATAAGAAAATGCGAGGCATCCGTATTTCTATCATATTCTTCACTGGCAGTGTCAGCAATCCCCTGCACACGTACGCCTACTAGTAGCACACCACCTCTACCGTACCCAACGCCTCCCCTATACACTCAGAAGGGGACATGTAGCTTCGAGCGTCGTTCCACAACGACGCGCAGATGCAAGTATGCATGGGTGATGATCGTAGCAACAACGAAACCTAGGAAAGATCACAACAACGATACAACAGGGGCCGGAACGGAACGAGACATGGGCGGACAACTCGAGCATGAATGTCGTGATGGGCATGAAGGACGCATAACGGAACCAGGGTAGGGACTATCGCGCCACGCTTGAGCGGACGCTTGCGCCAGAAGAGGCGTGTGCACCTTGAGGAGCATATAGCGCCAGTGCACGCTCGAGAACCTCCACATCCAGTCCCCGCAGCTTCAAGCAACGCTGGAAGAGCTTCTTGTCGAGGGGGTAGGCAATACGGCTCGCGAGGTGTTGCGCTGCCACGAAGCTCCGCACTACACCGGCGACCAGTCGCTGTTTGTGCACGTTGATGAGCGGCTCGAGCTGGATGGACGGCGGCAGTGGCGATAGTGTTGAGAAAACCTCAGGGTGTGACGGCGCCTCAAAAGTGTTCGTGAGCGGATCGATAGTCACCGGTGTGTGCGGTGCTGTCGGGTCGATCAGGTCCGGCAACACGGTGTAACGCTCCAACTGCGACAAGTACACGCCTGTGCGGATGCCACGTCAATAATGGCCTCAAAGACTGAACTTTGGAGTGCTCACCGAAAAATGGCACGCAAGCGGGGGCGGCGATCGGTCCACCCTTTGCGTCACTCGCCGCGCGCCCCCGCGCGCTTTGCGCATCGCTGTGTGGTGCGTCTTGTCCCTGCTCAAGCGGTTTCGCCTCTGTGAGCGCCTCGACTGTCTGTCGGATGTACATGAAGTGCCCTTGTCGTGATGTCCAACTCGTCAGGTCATGTAGGATGCGCTCATCCTTTGCGCGGAGCCTATCATGGCATTGCGCGATGGCCTTGGACACCCATGGGGAGCGCAATCCTGCGATGATCGCCACCAGTGCGTTGTAGTTCTTCATTTCATACGCTTTCTGTGAAAGGGTCAGCGCCACCGTTAGGGTGTCGTTTTGATCGAAAGCTTACCCAGGCTAGCCGTATGAACTTTATATACACTCGCATCCGGTCGCTAGGGTGTGTGAGCACGATCTCGCTTAGCACAAAGTTTGCAACTAGATTGAAACGGCCGCGGACGACCGTTAACGTGCCCGTTTGTGCGCCCACGCGACCCTCCGCCTTCAGCCGAGCACGCTCTCGCAAGAATTGCGCCCAGTCGAGGATATTGGAGTTCGCGAGGGGGTCGTGCGCAGCTAGTGACGGGGCGACAAGCTCTTCAAACCGGAGCGCGAGGAAGAGCTCTCGGTCGATCATGCTGATGTGCTGCATCAGCGTCTCGCTTCGGTACGCGAGGACGAAGGACTGGTGGCGTTTCATGTTCGGGGGGTACATCAGCGCGGTGGGTGAGCCGGGTGGTGGGAGCGCGGTGCTAGAAGGCTGGGGGAGGGGTGGTGACGCGCCGTTGGTAGATGTATGGGGAGTAGTGGGCTGAGTGGGGCGATCGACGCGGGACCACAAGATTTCGACCGGTACGACGTCCTCAATATGCGGTTTCGCGGGGTCAGAAGGAGGCTCAGCCACATGGTCCTGCAAGGGAAGCTCAGGGGCTTCCTCAGCAGACGGAGTTGTGGCTTCATCGGGAGTAAGGCCGGGTGGCGCAAACGGTATCGGCGATCCCAGTGAACTGCCGTCACTAAGGCGATTGGTTGATGCACGAGACGGCGTATCACGCTCGGGATGGTACTCGACAGAGTGTCGTCGCGACACCTGACCGTAGTCCTCGTCGTCTGAGTCGCTCAAAGGTTCTGCATCAGGGGGCAGAGGGTTGCCTGTGACCTGCCGTTCTTGGATGGAACGGACCCAGCGATCGACTTTGCTCTGCTTTGCGCGCTGTTTCTCCTCGTTAATCTGACCCTCGAGGCGCCGTAGCGCTGCCTCGACATCGCCACCTTCGTCGTCGTCACTGAGCGAGTCCACAAGTGCGCTCATCTGCCATGCCTGGATGGGCCCACCCACAGCCTCCTGCTCTGCATCCGGAGCGGCAGCAGGATCAGATGTGCTGGACATGCCAGACAGATACGACGCTCCCGAGAGCACAGACCCCCGTGTGCGGATGCCCATGGAAGAAACACTGTCGGTCGAGTGCCGAACAAACTCGAAGTCGCGTCGCGTAGGCAGTCGTCGGGACGGTTTCTTCATACCTACATGCGGCGGGAAGTTCTCATCAGAAGACAAGTCGTCTAGATCAAGATCGTCGATCGAAACGATGTCTAGCTGGCGTGACGCCATCGAGAAGCCGGAGTACGGCGGCTGGGGAGTACGCGGTGAGTCAAGAGTTTCAGTATACGCCGAAGAGAACGATGAGTAGCGCGGTGTTGTCTCACTGGCGCCAGGGGAAGATGGGTGGATGAGCCGGCTTGTGGACTCCATGCTCGAGCGTGGTTCCGAGTCGAAGGATGAACGACCCTCCGTAGTCGTGGCCAGTGAGTCGCGCGGCCCGCTGCGGCCAGGAGGGTGGAATGGGATATGCTCGCCAGTGGGGCTAGTGCTTCTACTGTTGACAGCGCTTCCAGCACGCGAGCATGGCTGCCCTGGGGCTACAATGCCCGCCTGCGACATTGAAGATTCGACCATCTTGAGATATTGCTCGACACCACCGCGTACAAGGAGCAGATCTCCCGTTTCGCTCGCTTCCACATCAAAGGCGGAAACGTCAAGGCCTGCATCAACCCGCGTCCTGTCTGAGTTCCGCTGGTTGAGGACGCGCTTCCATCGTCCGAGCCGGCCGATGGTGTTCACGAATACTCGCGAGAATGGACTATGCGGCATAGGCATCAGGATAGGATGAGGTGCGCCATTTGACTGGAGCCCGACACTACTCTTCCTGCTATATTGGAGGAAGGCAAGGTGCAGCGGCTGCCGCAGTGAGAGCAAATCAAGCGGACCGGTGTCCTTGGACGGTGACGAGGTGCCTGTGCTTCTACGAGAAGCCACGGAGATCTGCTCGAAGTCCAGGTCAAGATCGGGGTCATCTATACTTGACTGGCCTCCATGGACGTCTGTTAGTGTTTCGATATTGGGCACGCGATGCCGATATTCTGATGTGCGACCGGCTTGTCTCTCCCCTCGACGGATATATCGGTCGGCGCAGTCCCGGAACACCTTGCGCACTTGCCGGACAATTTTC